TATATATATATTATATTCAGATATCCTAAACTGAGACCTAGTTTAATCTCAAAATCGGAATCAAACCGTATGATTAAAATTACACCTCTTATCAATTTGAACTTCGAATTCAGACGGAATATTCATTTTATATTTTTTTCACCGGTTGAATTATCCAAATTTGATTAGCTTATATTTATTTTATCATTGGAATTAACATTTCTTTCGTATTCAATGAAAATTTTATTTCGATAATAATTTATTTTTATTAATTATAACTCACGATATTTATATCTAAGTAGATATTTTAATAATTAATAATATAAATCCAGTGTTTTTTTTAGTTGTCTATATTTTTATTTTTATTTGTTAAACTAGTTATATAATTGATTGTCTTCTAGTCATCTGTACTCTTGTATTTTTTTTTATAATTTTATTACATAGTTTACATAATCGATTGGATTTAACTAATTTATGCAACCAAAATTGTTGGAATTCATGGACAATCTAGTTTCTTCCTTCTAATTGGTCTCATTTGCCTGACTTTGGCATTTTTCAAATGCCCAAATGCTAACCCAACCCCAAAAAATAAGAGGAGATCAAGATGGAATGAGATTTTTACATTGTTTTATGACAAAATCAACCATACAAATTTGCCTTTAATTTAATAGGGGGAGGGGTGTGTATATACATAAATGAACTAAATGGATTACATAAAAAAATTATACATAAATAAAGTCTAACACTCTAATTTTAATGATTTTTTATTCATTTCACAAGACCTAGATTTATTTTAGAACGTATAATTAAAAATGATTTGAAACTGTTACAAATTCCAAGAGAGTTAATTCAAAACCGAAACCAGTGAAAACGAAGAATATATATGGTCGATCCCAAATAAATTCGGAATTAAAGTGAGTGATATTGATGTTCTCATATATAATATATTTAGATAATAATGTATAGTATTTTACGTGGATATTGTTCCGTAGAGTGTTTTATTATTTTATTATTATAAAATTAAAATATAAATAAATTTCTATTTATATTTTTATTATAAATTTGAGAATTGAAAATATCATAATAAATCAATAAATAAATAAATAAAATATCATCAATCGAATCATAAATTTTTATTGTCATTAGTGGTGTAAGAATATTCCTATTTCTAGAGAACCATAGCATATAACATCCAATAGAAACAAGAGTGATGTCTTTTTTTAAAATTATGAAATATTTTTATTATATGTAATTTTAACACGGTTTTAACACGGTTACTAATAAATATACATGTAAATTTTATTTATAAAAAATGGTTGCTAAATAAGTAGATAAATTATAATAATACATATATATATATAAGTAATCTACTATACACGTGAATTTTATTCCAATTTCAGTGGTCATTTCAGTTCTATCCTGCGTAGATTTAATGTTTATACATATATATATACATATATATACATAAACATGCGCATATATGTGTATAATGTGTCTATGTGCGTAACATACGTATGGGCCAGAGGACACCTACTGCTATAATATAAAACTCGAATTGCAATAATGGAAGAATCAAGAAGAATTAGATATCAAATCTTTTTTTTTCATTTTAAGAAATGTAGCGTATGAGAATTGTTCACCTCTTACACACACACACACAAATATATAATATATATATACAGAGAGAGAGAGAGAGGGAAGGGTGTTGACTGTTCGTTTATTTTATGAGACAAAAATTTTCATTTTTATTATCTATATACAAGTAAATTAATTTTTTTTTGTGATTTTTCAATTCTGTTCGGGAAACTTCAAAAAGTTTTTTTGGTACGTCTTAGAAACAATTTATTCTCCTTCGAAATTATATAAAAATGAATATTTATATTATAAACTTTATTATTTTTATTGGTATCTATGAAAACAATCAATTGATTAATATTTATAATATCCAAATTAATTATAAAACCTTAATTGAATACCAAATAATTGAAAAAATAATTTTAGATTTTTCTATCATTTAAAATTATTCTGCTATTGAGATTTTACTATATTATTAATATTTTTTCAAAACTAGACATTTAAGATCTACTGAATTATTTTTTAATTAAAGTATTTTTATTAAAAATATTTATTCCATTTCAACATTTTATTTTTATTAGAAGTATCTATTTTCTAAAAAAAATGTGATTAGTTTCGTAATTGATTTGAATTAATAATTTAATTTATAGAAAATAATACAAAATTGAACAAAATTTTATTTCAATATAATTATTTAGTTATAGTCAATTTGGTTAGAAGACAGTTAGATATTATTTAATTGGATTGAATTTTTATGTTTGAAATGGTTAACCCTAATTATGTCGACACTTATTTTTGGTCAAATTATAGTTTTTTTCGTAATTATACAACTTGACTTAAGAGGAACAATGATTATGGTGTTAGTTTAAAATGCCAAAGATTCCTTTTCAGTTCAACACCAAGAGTTGTGTAAGAATAAGATTCCGCACAAGGCCAAAGACATTGCCTTGTACTCACATCAACGGCTCAGATTCATTTATTTCACGATCTCATGACGTGGAACCTTATCCTCCGTCCATTCTGTTTGTGCCTCCCCCACTTATTTTTATACAATTTTCTCCGCTTTACAAATTATTTTTCGACCCAAAAGAGGGAAAATATCAAAAAAGAGAGAAAAAAAAAATTCTCCCTTTCGTCTTCTTCATCAGCCATTGGTGTCTCTCTCATCTCTCTCTAGTTCTGTTTGCATTTTCATAGGCAAAGAACTGCGTCTCCGATGTCTCCGTGAACCCTGTTCCAGAATTTTAGAAAATCGCCGGAAAATTCTCTGCAAACAGATAATATTTTTCCCTCTTCTTATTCCCTTGCTAGTTCAATGGCCTCTCATGTCCCAAACCCTTCTCAAAGAAGTATTCTCTCTCTCTCTCTCTCTCTCTCTCTCTCTCTCTCTTTCTTGTTGTGTGTTGGCTTTTGGATTGCGTATTGTCTGGTGGATATGGTTGAGAAATCATTGCATGTGTGGTTTATAACTTGCGTAGACGATTACCATGTTCTGACTGTTGATCACTTGGGAACTTTGTCTCTTGTTTCAGCCATTGGAGATATGAAGAAGGACCTCAAGGTGGATCCTCTCGCAAAGATCACCGGCCCGGTAACCTTCTTGAGTTTCTTGAATAAAGTCTGTAACTTGATATAAACGCTGAACACCACAATGATATATATAAATCTTCTGTTCTGAATTCTGATGATGACGAGTTTGAAAATGTCTGAATTTGTGGACATGGGCTTATGTTTTTTTTTTGTTCTTTTTATTGTTTCTTTTGTCTGGGAATTCAAGGTTTCTGCAAAGGAGAGAAGCCAATCCGACATGCCATCTCGTGTTTCTTCATCAGGAGATGCAAAAGATAGTTTTCCTGAAGGTGATGCAGACTGTGAACCTCTAGAGACATACCAAGGCTTGCCCTGTCCTTATGGTGGCTACTATGGATTCTACTATCCCAGTTCGGTTCCTCAGACCGATAAGATCGAAGCCAAGGATCAAGGATACTACGGTTATGGAACAGAACTTCAATACCCGGTAAGCTTTCGACGTAGAAGATTAGAATTACTCCGATGAATCGTATGCTTTTGCTTGGGAAAGTCCTGAAACATCGAAACAATCTCGTGTGCTCGATTTAGGGTATGCAAGGAGAAAATGGCTCTTTGATCTACTTGATGCCAGGAATCCAACCTTATGATGTTAGCAACACTTACATGCCCGTAAGCCCTATTGGTGTCGACACTCAGTACATGAGCCAGACGCTGCATTCATCTGCTCTGATGATTACAGCTAATGGATATATACCGAACCCCTATGGTTATGGAGATACTATGTCACCAACGTACTGGTGGAACCCATCTCTTCTTGCCGTTGATGGCACGTTTGGAGATGCGTATGGATATGGATATGGCGTGGTTGCAAATTCTCCGGGCACAAGACAGAACATGTCGTCTTCGAGTAATAACCGTGGTCATCACTCGAGGAACAAGGCAACAGACTTCTCTTTGAATGGCTTGCCGGGTCAGGGCATAGGTCATCAGCTTAAAACTCCGAGCAAGGTGACATTTTTTCTCCATCTTCCTTTCTGTTTTTTTAACATTCCTTGAGCGAATTTTTTAACCTTTTCCTGTATCTGTTGATCTCTTAGGTGGTGCAGAACGGTTCAGCTCTCCAACCAGATGTACAGGGAAAAGGGCACTTACCATTAACGGCATTCCCACTGTATAATCAAGAAAGAGGCGGAACGTACCACCCAACAGATGCTACAGGGAGAAGTGCTGGAGCTTTTGATTGGTCTGAAACCGAGAAGGCGAAAGCAAGAAACAAGGTTAATGGTAGTGCTATAAGCGAGTTTGCTAATGGCCAAGCTCATCTTACCAATGGAGGAAATGATCCTTGTTCCCTGACCGATGCCGGGAATGAGAAAAGCAACTTGGCAGCTTCTGCTATCAGACGGGATCAATATAACCTTCACGACTTTCAGACCAAATATGATCAGGCTTATTTCTTCGTGATCAAATCCTACAGCGAAGATGACGTTCACAAGAGCATCAAATACAATGTCTGGTCCAGTACTCCCAATGGTAACAAAAAGCTGGACAATGCATACCAAGAGGCTCAAAAGAGGATTTCAGAGCAAAGTGGCAAGTGCCCGGTTTTCCTTTTCTTCTCGGTATGCCTTCTTTAACCCGTGGATGGATCATCTTTCCCTTCTTCTGGGATGATACATATCTTCTTGTACTGATCTGTTTTCTTGCTTCAGGTGAATGCAAGTGGCCAGTTCTGCGGTGTGGCTGAAATGACCGGCCGAGTGGATTTCAAGAAGAGCATGGAGTTTTGGCAACAAGATAAGTGGACGGGTTATTTTCCCGTCAAGTGGCACATCGTCAAAGACGTCCCCAACCCGCAGCTACGGCACATCATACTGGAGAACAACGAAAACAAGCCCGTGACCAATAGCAGAGACACGCAAGAGGTACGAACACAGTTACAAGTCTCTATTCCTTTCACTCCAGCTTGTGACATCAACTCTCATATTACTGCCATATATCTCCACAGGTGAGGTTGCCTCAAGGGAATGAAATTCTGCACATCTTCAAGAACTACAACGCAAGGACCTCCATATTAGACGACTTTGATTTTTACGAGAGCCGGGAGAAGGTGATGCAACAGAAGAAGCTGAGGTCCCCAGTTCATAATGCTGCTCAAATAAAGGTTTTTCCTTTTGCCCCCCTCTCATGTACAAACCTTAGTTTCCTTCTGAAGACTGAAGTCTCTCTTTCTGTGACAGAAGACAGAAGACTTGGTCGCTGGTTTCCAGGCAATGGACATATCGACAGGCAAAGCTGTTGAAGCAGAAGGGGGAAACAAAGACAAAAATTGAAGGGAGCAAACAGATGGGTGGGATGAACTAACAAACAAGTAGAAGCAGTGGTTGGTCTTTTAGAATCAAAGCCATCAACTTGGAGGGCATAAAACAAGAAAGCTGAAGACTTTCTGCTCTGATTCTTGAAAAAGTATAAGACATGGGCCCATTGGTGCTATAGGTTTGATCCGAGTGCAGGCCGTCTGATTGTTTCGGCTGTCTATTGCTTTTTTTTTTTGTAACCATGGAAATTTGCTTCACTTTTGCCAGTTGGGGCTTCAGATCAGATGATTGGATGTGTTTCTGATTTGTTTGTGCTCGTTGTATCATAAGGCAATGCCCCAGGTTTTTATGAACAGTGGTGTTGGAAGGCATAAGGAAAGATTCTGTAGCCTGTGTACTCTGTTTGAGAAATTTGAACAATAAAGAATAGCATTTTTTTTGTTGGGAAATTTCTTCAAAATTTAAGCTTAGCAAGTTGCTGTTTCGATTAATTTATTGGCTCAAGCTGTAGCATGAAGCCGTCTTAGCTCAGCGGTAGAGCGCATGGCTTTTAACCATGTGGCCGTGGGTTCGATCCCCACAGACGGCGTTGAAATCATAACAACGAATCAAAAAATAACTTTTTTACTAATTTTTCGGATCGGCACGTGACGGACCGGCACGTGCCCCAGATTCAGTGAGGCTTTGAAGTTTGAACAGTAAGCTTGTTTTCAAATAATTTTTAATATTGGACCTGCAATTTTCCAATTTCAAATTCTAACATTATAGAGTCACATGCAGTTCTTTCTGCCTCTGAGCCTTACAATATATATATATATATATATCCATTTGCAATAATTGTATCTTGTTTTATTGTTAGAAAGACTTCCACCAAATTTGAAAAGCATATGAAATTCCCAAAAAAGCATATAATTCGATTTTATGTGAATAGACAATTTGGATATTTGGGTCGATTTTAATATTTTATAATGCCCAAGAATTTTGTTATCAATTTAAAATTTTCATTATCTGCTTCGGCCTTCGAGGTGAGCCACGCTTCTAACTTATGTAAGCCCAATAAATCATGATCCGTAATGAACAAGGAGAACATGGGCACTTTGAATTAAGCCCAATGAGTTTCCAACTTCCGCATAGAGTATGCAATAATATGGTGCAACCGGTTTGGTTATGTAACAATCTTCGTTCAAGTCTCACTTTGGTTATGCAATTTTCAAGAAAATTGAAAGTTAACATTTTTATTTTTTGTTAACACTTTTCTAAAATAATTACCTAAAAATTCTGAATTATACAAAAACTATTACTTTTCAATTAATTTTTTTTATTAATTTTGAGATTATTAATCATTATGGGAATTCATTGTTACAAAAGAATTTGCGTCACTGATTAATAAAAAAATAATCATGATTCTTAAACTAATAAATAATCACATCCTTGTGTTAAAGAAAAGCATACAGAAGCCAAAATACTACCTTGAATGTTATTATGGTTTTAACATTTCACAGAAAACATATCTTATTATAAATCTCATTTGGTTCTTACACTTAGAAATGGCAATAAATGGATCGTTGATGAAGAAAACGATGTTAACAACGACAAGAAGCATTCAACCCTAACCGGTCTTTCTCTTCTTGCTCTTCCATGGTATCGCAGAGACTCGAACCTTTGGTCTCAGGCAGAAGCAAACCAAACAGCCCGAAAACGAACAACGAAGCTCCGAAAACGGCAAACGGAAGCAAAGGAACGTTCAGTCCGATCGAAGAAATCATCGGACTGCATATTCCTCCGACCACAAGCGCCTGTCTCGCCATCGTTGTTGCGGAGTTCCTCACGCACGTCGGGAACATTTCCACCACGTAAACCATCATTAGGTTGAAACCCATCCTCGAGCAGAAGAAACAAGCCAGCTCGAGCACGAACCCTAACTTTCCTTTCCCCAAAACGCTCAAGACGAAACACGAAATTCCCGTTATTCCCCCTATTAGGTTACACGTCAGCAAAGAGCTTCTTCTGTTAAATTTCTCCAGCAAGAACGGCGTGAGGACGAAAGAGGGCAATTCCACCAACGCGTTTAGGGCTTCGCCTACGTATATATTCACGTTTACGCCCCTAACGGCTAAAGGCACGCCGTAATACGACATTCCTATCCCGAAAGCTATGACCATAACTGTTGAAATTCGCCTCAGAGCCCATTTCCTGATGAACAAGTCCTTGATCGAGTACTTTCTCCCTCGATCTTTGCTTTCTTGCGTTAGGGGTAACAGAGCAAAGAGCGATACTAAGGTGGCTTTGTTCGTTTTCGAGATCTTTTCGAGGACGTTTTTCGCTTCTTCGTTCCTTCCTACCATACTGAGCCAGCGGGGCGACTCAAAGGCGAACAGGTAAAGGAGAATAGAGTAGATGGCCGCAGGAATCGACGTGCAGAGATAAAGCACTCTCCATGAAAAGTTCCGAGCTATGTAAGCGATACCGGACAATGACATAAACCCCAACACGAAAAGGGTAAAGGGGATCATACCGGCTCGAGGCCTCCATCTCGTCCCAACTCGCTCAGTGATGAGAACGACGACGTATGTACCGAGCAGAGATCTTGCGAATCCGATCATAAACTTCAACAAAGAGTAAATCCATACGTTGGGCGATAACGAAATGGCGATTCCGGTCAGGGAAGTTGCCAAAGTCGAGAAGAAGAGCAGTTTCTTGCGTCCCAAGAAAGTATCTGGAATCATAGCCAGAAGAAACCCTCCCACAACGCAGCCCACGTAGAAAGCCGAAGTGGGGAGATCTCTGAGTAAGGAGCTCGAACACTCGAGACCGAAGCTCGAAATGATCGATTTCCCCTTCGATCCGACGTCGTCCCAGTCCCAGGCTGAACGGGGAAGCTGGCAGATGTCCGAATCTACCGGATTGCAGATCGTACGGTCGACACAGTGCCACGTGGGATACGCATCAGCGAAGACGGTGATAAATATCTGTTGAGAATCGAAGAAGGAAGCGAACCCGACGAGGAAAGTTTGCACGAACTGAGAAAAGCCGAAGCTAGACAAGCTCTGTTCCATGACCTTGTCGAATGTGAAACCAGAAACTTCTTCTGGTTTGATTTTGTCGCTTTCTTCATCGCCCTGAGACAACAATGGTGCTGACGAATCCGCCATTGCTGCAGTTTTAAGAGAAATATCAAGAACTTGAATCAAAGAAACATAAAATCAGACAACAACGTGAAAGCTCATATATTCAACGAAGGGGCTGCGCCGACCGATTTAAAAACAGGTCGTAGAAGATTCAACAACCCAAAAAAAAAAAAATACCCTCGTTTTTATTGCAATTGTCGGTCTAATCAATGGAAGAATCTAAGAGCAAGCGCCTTTTTTTTCTTTGTTTGATTATTATTGAACATTATAAAAACTTTACTTCATATTCTAATCTTTATTTATTTCATATAAAATATGGACTAACATTTTCGGCAACTTGCAAAGGGTAGAAAATGGATAAGGTTTTGTGCGTTGTCAATGTAGACTAATAGATAAAGAGATGGAAAATCATTGGATTTTTCATTATTCAACATATAACGTTACAATATTTATAATAGAAAACAAAATCATAAAATATGGAAATAAAATATATAAATAAAATCAAATCTAAATATTACGTAATCTTTTTAAATCTTCTTCATATCTCTTTATATAGACTCGTTCAATTAGGTTTTGATTATTGGATAACATAAGTTGAAACGTGATCTATTATGACATTATAATTTATAAATGATTAAGCATGGCAATAAAAAGAGATTTGATCATTCATTCCATTTACTAAGCAGCCCTTAATTTGTACTATCATCTTCAATTATTGTACGGGATCTTCCCGAGTCACGACGTAGAAAAAGACAAAACAGCGGCGTCTTTGATCGCGTAAGAATGTGAAACACATTGTCACGTGATGAGACATCGATGTCAGAAGCCTTCAAGAGCCTTCAAGGCTTCACCTATACCCTAAACCCTCGTTTTTATTGCCTCTAAGCTTTTTTTTTTCTTAGTCAAAGAATTGCTTGCAAAAATAAAATCGTAATCGCTACTTTTTATTCATATATAAACTCATTAAAAAATACCACAAAAAAGATTAAACGCTATTTGTATATGTAAGCGCATCCATTTAATTTCTTCGATTCATTTTGTACAGGAATTTTTTTTTTTCTAACCTATCATTTGATTTAGTGAGCCATTGATTGTATCTGATCTTAGAACATGCATTAGATATCTACACATTATTTTGAAAACACGGTTAAATATATTTAGAGATATTTACAAATATTTTTAGATGAAACTCCTCTATAAAATTTTTTTTTTCCTTTCATGAAAAATCAAAACTTTATATTGTAAACTTTTGTCGTGGTATTAAAAGTTACACACGAAGAAAGAAACAAAGAAAAAATACTGTTCATTCGTCTCCTCTATCCTTCTCATTTAGGGTTTCTCCTAATATAATTGATGATATACATTTGTAATATAGGTATCTCCAAACTTATAATGCTTGACGGCCATTAATTAATGCCGTTGCTTGCCTTATTTGAGCTTTATAGCTGTATGTGATCCGTATTTCTTTTTATTTTTATTTTTCTAATTTATGGAGAAATAAAAGGTGAAACAAGAATCAAAATGAGTTGAAACAAGACAAAATCAGTGGCGTCTTGATCGGGCAAAGAGTATGGAATGAAACACGTTGTCGAATTATGGAGAGATGGATTCGAGAAAGAGACGACAAACAGGTCACTGAGTCTGTGACTGTGTGGTCACCATGCAAAGTCATGTCTAACCATTTTTTTATTTTTATTTTATTTTGATCCACACGAATTTAAATTTATTGGTTATAGGATAAGATATTATAAAGTTGTGTTGTATATATCTAAAAACAACGTACGGCTAACATCCAAAAAAAACGGGGTAAGAGGTCTGTGCCACTCATCTTCCCCATCATCTCCCATCAACGCTGTTCTTATATACAAAATTCAATTGATTTAAAACTGATAATGTGTAATTGTAAATTTGTAATTGAAGTGAATCCCACTTTTAATATATATATATATTTTTACACATTAATGTGATACGTCACGTAGACTTCTTTGGTCAGAAAATGTCAATGGAAAAACTATTTTGTTCGTCTTCTATTTTTTTTATTTTATAAATAGTATGGTTCTCCGGATATTCGATCCAATTATATCAATTCTAGACTCAGAATCACGTTATGTATATAGATCATTTTGATCCAAAAATTATATTCTTTTTCACCAGTGAAATCGTACCCAAGAGTTTTAGAATAACTTTAATAGAGAAAGAGAAAGAGAATCAATGGATTTCTCATTATTCAACATATAACATTACAATATTTATAGGAGAAAACAAAATCATAAAATATCTTATTTAATAAATATAAATATCTAAAATATAGAAATAAAACCAAATCTAAATATTACGTAATCTTCTCAAATCTTCTTCATATCTCTTTATAAACTTTGTCAACTATCATCCACAACACTGTTTTTTTTAAATAATTGAATTTGAATCAAAAGCATATATGCCCAAATCAACTGCTATTTATAATAATGGTTACAGGAAAATAATGATATTAACCCAAAGTACTACTATATATTTTGATCACAATTTTGTATATGGTATGAACAGTTAATGCAAACACATTATATTCTACAACATAAATACGTTATATTTAAAATAGAAGAAATATAATGACACTATGAGTTTTACATTTTTTTTCATTATCAATGACAATCACATTGTTGTTCTTGTAATGTTGGGAAATTAAATATAATTTATTATGATTACTAAATCTGCCGCATCTAATTTGACGTTGGATCCAATTGGTTGGGCCACTTCTCCGAGCCCATTATTAAAGATAGATTAAAAGCCCAAACGCCAGCGTTTTAGCCCATGCCGGACCCACGACGTCTCTACTGGGACAAATCTGATTAAAAAAAATATAATCGTGGTAAATACTGTTCTAATTGTACGTTTCAAACTTCTGAAATCTGATCATAACTTTATAATAAAAAGTTAAATTAAATTATTATATATTAAAAAATATATAGAGAATCCAAGAAGACAGGCGAAAATCAAAGAAGAGAGGATGATAATAATTAACAAAAAATAATAATAAACCAATATTCGACCGTTCATGTTCCGATACCATACTGAAATAGACGCTCAAATATTAAATGTGTATTATGTGTTGGATTAATTTAAGATAATTGTCGACATATATCAAATTAATATGATAGTATTATATGTGGTATATTCAATTATGTGATATATATGTATTTTGTGTACTTACTTACAGACCTAGAAGATTTTTTTACAATACATTATTACCATTAAATTTCTGAATCTATTGAGAGAAATTGTTTATTTGTTGTAGTTTTCTTTAATATAACATAATATCCAGATCTAGATATTTCGTGCAATTTGATTTTAGTTTGTTTCTGATATTGTAGGTGTATTTATTATCATAGGTTTTGCTTCAAAATTTTCAAAAAATAATGGGTGAAAATTACCTCACACCGTATTTTTTTGTAAAAAAAAAAGAGAGACAGGGAAACGGTCGACCAAATTGAAGAAATTTAAATATAAAATATTAATCTATATATGGGGCTTGACTTAAAAGATTACCCATCCACATCTACCGCCACCATTCTTCGTACGTGACTTGCCACCTTTGCTCCAATATGCATATTCACGCATAATATATATACACATTGATATATATATATATATATATATATATATATATGTATATATGGTTGTATAGTCATCTCAAAGTTAAATACGAAAACGATCTGTAAACAATAGCTTATACACCTATTTAGGAAAAAAATTGTTTACATTATGAATGTATAGCTAATAAATTTCAAGTATAGAGAAATCCAAAGAATGTAAAATAAAATAAAAGTGAAAAAAGAGAGTTTTATATGATTATCTTGTTATGGGGCCCCCATCCTCCATCAAAAGACACAAAACATCTTATTACATTTAATAAAGTAGCATTGGAATTAGATATTACGTTAATCCCCATTGATATGGTATGGATGTGGTGTCGTTTTCCAAGAAAAAAAATAAAATCATCTGCTCCTAGTGATCCCTAAATCATCGATACAATTAATTAATAAGTTAATTAATTAAGCAGCCATTATTGTTGGAAATTAGCGAATATTAAAACATATAAAAAAAAGAGAGGAGAGAGAGAGAGTTTCTCAAAGGACAAAAGACAAAGATTCCATGCTAATCTTACAAACTATAATATTAAATTTAAAAGGCCAAAAACAAATGTGATAAAAAGGAGAGACTAAAGACCACAAAACGGATTTGCACGGATCCGTCCACATGGGATTTTGTTGCTTTTAGTTTTTAGAGTACCAAGAGTTTATATACAACTAATATTATGTATTCTTAACATTTTATTTTATTTAAAACGAACTACGTTTTTATTTTTAAATTATTCGGATGTTTAGTAATAACAATAAAAAAAATGAATATTTAATAGTTTGATACGTCCATATCACGCGGGTTTTTTCCAAGTCAAATTAAGCAATTTTATCAACACAGCGACGAAATTTGGTACAGATATTCACATTTCATCTAAAAAATGTTGGTACAGATGATAACGGGGTTATGTGTATTTTCCATTACAAAAACGAACAGGAATATAAATCTAGCATAGTTTTATTTATAATCTTTTTTTTACAGAAAAGTGGGTAGATTTATTTCAAACACGATGAATTTTGACATCGATCACATCACTTTAAAAAATCGAAGAAATGAATATATTTACTCATTGTGTGTGTGTATATATATACATGAATACTATTCATTAATCAAATTCGTAATTGGTTCGACCAAAGGAAAACAATATAGGATGTTCATTTCTCTAGTTGGACCGATGACATGTCCCTTTTGAAAACCTACGCCCCCCCTCCAATCTCTGCGTGTGTGTGTATATATATATATTCATTATATAATGAATATATATATATATATATACACGTTGTATACAAGTCTCATCTAGTGTGTGTGCCATTAATCTCTCTCCACCAAACCCAGAAACATTCCTCCAAGTAAAACCCGAAAGCATCATTCATCATCTGTCTTCTTTTGGTGACACACACACATATATACACACCCACATACACACACACATAAAAAGAAATCTTGATGAGCAACTCAAGATCGTACTGGAGAAAACAGAGATGGGGAACACCGCCACAAACCCTAACGCCATTGATGGAAGGACCAGACCCAGAGATGCAAGAAGAAGGCGCAAAGAAGGAGAGCTCATGGGAAGTGATTAGGGAATGGTTTAGGGTTCATAAGGGCATTTCCGGTAATTTGTCTTCTTCCTCGATCCAGCCACTGAACAGTACTAACAATGGCGGCGGTGGTTGTGTCGATGGCGTTGCGAAGAGACAAGACATTAGGCTTTTACTCGGCGTCTTGGGTTGTCCTCTTGCTCCCATCTCCCTCAGTTCCGATCCTAACGGAGACGACTCGTTTCTAAGCCCTGTTCACATCAAGGATGCTCCTCTTGTGAGTTATCATTTTACACTTTCTATTTTCATTTATTTTTTTATTCATTAATATCCATGTTAATTTTGGATCTGCTGCATATAAATAAATTTTGGTACAATGATTGGTGCGTACTCTTGTAATAATTGTACAATCGATCGCGAAATGCTTTGCATATATTTCATTACATTACCTGCTATATATATCCCAAAGATCCTCTAATTAATACAAAATAAAACCACCATATTTATATTTTTATTATCTTATTTATTCGTAAGAAAATATATTTATCCTTCTAATACAAACTAAACCGGATTTATATTCTAAAATCATCTCTTTCTATATCCTAAAAACTAATTACGTGCCATAAATTGTTATCGGTAATTAACCCACAGGAGACATCGTCGGCTCATTACATAATACAACAATACCTAGCCGCGACAGGGTGCTTGAAACAGTCGAAGCCAGCCAAGAACATGTACGCGACCGGCGTGATGAAGATGACGTGTTGCGAGACCGAGATCGCCGCCGGTAATATAAATAAATATCTAGGGTTTTTCATTTATGTTTCCATGATTACATATACGTATGTATATATGTATGTATAGGTAAGACGGTGAAGACGGTGGGAGGTGGGCGGAATGGAGAGAACGGGTGCTTTGTACTGTGGCAGATGAAGCCTGGGATGTGGTCGCTAGAGCTGTTGCTGGGTGGGACCAAGCTCATCTCCGGCAGCGACGGCAAGACCGTGTGGCACCACACCCCCTGGCTCGGCACCCATGCTTCCAAGGGTCCTCAACGTCCCCTCCGTCGTTTGATCCAGGTTCGTATATTTATTTATTTATTTTATTTTATTAGCATTGAATCATCTGAGTATCTTATTTATTAATCGGATTATACAAATATTGAACGTAAATATTTTATAAGCTTGGAATCAAGCAAGATGACCATGAAAAATGTTTTTATTAATTACAAGTTGTGTTTGCGGTGTTGAACTCTTAAGTCAAAACACTCTACTAACCCCATTTCAAAATTTCTATATAGATTTAAGTATCGGTATAGTAGATTTAGAAAATTTATTTCCAAAACCCTAATAATATGATAAAAAAAATAAATAGATTTTTTAAAATGTAACAAATTATAATTAACTTCTAATTAGTTTAATAATTACATATGTTCACGAACATAAAAACAAAGAGGATAAGTGATGACGTCAAAGGTTGTCCGAAAGATAGAGACGTGGGGGAAGAAAGGTCGCAGTCCAAATTGAATTTCGAAAAAAATAAAAATAAAAGCTAAAGTTTTAAATGGAAATAAATAATAATAATCTGACATTGATGGAGAACCTGTCTCTCGCTTTACCATACATTCACATACATTCATGTTTTTTTTCGCTTTCTTTTGAATATCAGACCCTTCACATAAACAGCTTCCCCCACGTGATGTTCCCTTTCCTCTCACGTGACGTCATCCTTTCCCTTCTCTCCAATCATTTTTTCCACTTCAACATTAATTCTAGCATTAATATTAATGATAGATATTTAGATTTCTGTTCGAATTCTATTTAATATCTTGTTTTTCTTCAGGTTTGGTGTTCATTTAAAAAGCATTGATTTTAAAAAAATCAATTTCCGTTTTTTTTTTCTTTTTTTATATTCAATCTCGATTGGTATTCTGATTGGAGATTTAATTTAAATACAATTATCTATTATTCTTCACGTTTTTAACATATAAATTGATTCGGGTATAGTAATTATGATGATAGTGGAAATTATTATTATTATTATTATTATTATTATTATTATTATTATTATTTTGCTAAGAAGACATAATAATAATTTATATTTTCTTGTGGTAATGCATTTTTATAACAAATGTCTCACCATGAATACGATGGCACATTCAAAATACGAACTTCTTGGGATTACCAAAGTCTTCCTTCACTTTATCTTTTTTCTTTTTTTAACTTTCTTTTTTGTCTTTCACACCCTCAACGAATATCTGTCGGACCATTATATTATCGTCCTCTTTTTTTTTTTATAACTTTATTTAACAAATTGGAATATTTTCCTTTCATTGTGATCGTTTTATTTTATTTTCATTATTTAATTATAAATTTTCTTTTACAATTGGGCTTTTACAGGGCCTGGATCCAAAAACAACGGCGGGCCTTTTCATGAAGGCCCAATGTCTCGGGGAGCGTCGCATCGGAGACGACGACTGCTTCGTCTTGAAAGTCTCCGCCGACCGCTCCGCCTTGTCGGAACGGAGCGACGCCGGAGCTCCAGCAGAGGTTATACGTCACGCTCTCTACGGATACTTCTGCCAGAAGAGCGGTCTCCTGATCTACCTCGAGGACTCGCATCTCACAAGAGTCACGACGGCGATGGCGACGTCTCCTCCGACGAATTCTCCGGCTTCGGTGGAGGATGAGGCGATGTACTGGGAGACGACGATCGGAAGCAGCATCGGAGATTACCGCGACGTCGACGGTGTCGCGGTGGCCCACTGCGGCCGCGCCGTCGCGACGGTGTTCAGGTTCGAGGAGGCGTCGTTGCAGTACAGCAGGATGAGGATGGAGGAGATGTGGAGGATAGACGACGTCGTTTTCGATGTGCCTGGGCTTTCTCACGATTCCTTCATCCCTCCCGCTGATATATTTGGAGATGATAATCATAATAGTAATTATTATGTTTATAATCATATAAATTCTCGGTAAAATGTTTTTTTTCTTCTTTTTATTAACTTGTCTGAAGACGATTTAATTGGTGGGATAATGGTATATGTATATTTTGGCTTTATTTTTTTGAATTGGAGTTTTCTTGTCTTATATTTTTTTTTTCGGTGGTAGAAAATAAAATGGTATATTCAATGATGAATTTGGGTTGGAATTATATTGCTTATTTGCTCCAATATTTTCCAAATTAAGAATTTTTATTTTTTAAAATTAATCATTCGAATGATATTTTTAAAATTCAATTTTTTTTCGTATTAAAATCTTATTTTGTAATCCATTTTTTAAACTAAAATATGCATTATGACGAATACAATGTACAACCCATACTCCATTAGCCAAAAAAAAAACTTCGATATACAATTTTATAACCATACAAAAAGAAGGTGTGCAATTTTTCATGGGATTACATATAAAAGACCCACCTAAAAATAATATATCATGATTTATTTGACATCATTTGTAACAAATATAAAAACAAAAAAAAAGTTAAATTTCAACGAAGAGGGAAAAAAAACAAAGACCGTATTCATCTTCTTGACGAATCAAAAGTACTCAAAATGGCAACCATCATAGCCTGCAGCCACATATATCGACAAAATTCGGAATGTTATAACATTATAAATATTTTTAAAAAATGAAAAAATAATAATAAATAGAATTAAGATACGAAATTTCCGTACTGGGGTCGACGGTGACAAGCATGCCAGTGCCACCGAAAGCGCAAGAGCCACCGGAGCCTTTGGAGCGTTGCCAATAGCTATTGAAAGCAAAAGAAGCATGGGCCCAAAGTATGTTGGGCTGAAAGCAAGGCCCATTGGGCTGAATTGAACTGCAATCTGCTCCTGACCCACAGGCATAGTTCATGGCTTCTTGCATGATTGGGTCAGGCACCGTCGGTTTAGCCACGCACCAGTAAGCCGTGCTCGGTGTCACGCTCGGCGGCGGCGGAACCATTGGCGGCGGGTAGACGATCGGGGGTAGAAATCCCGATGGGCTCGGGACAGATCCGCTGCCGCCAGATGGTGTAGGGATGTAGGTCGTTGGTGGGCCGGGCTCATAGTAAGGTGAGCCCATAGTGGGCCCAGATGGGCTCGGGTTAAAAGTGGGATTCGGCTGGCTAGGCGGGTTAGGAACGGTCACAGGTGGGTTCGGGTAAGAGGTGCCCGGTGAGTTCGGGGCGGAGCCGATCGGGCCGGGTGGTGGGCTTAGACCAGGGTAAGAAGAAGGGGAGGGAGGTGAGTTCGATGAGGTTGGTGTTTGAGGGGTATTTGGGGGATAAACACAAAAAGGAGGGGCATTTTGGGGAATGGAAACAGGGGGAAGCGAGTCATAAGGAGGAAGTGAGAAGGGTGAGCTCACACCATAAGGTTGAGTATTGGAGGTGGACGAGTCAAGCTGTTGTGCAAGGTTTAGTTGAGTCATCATTTGCTCCAGCAATGTGTGTTTGATCACTCTTATTATCTTCGGTTTCTTCGATTCCGTAGTCAATCCTATCGATCTTTTCGCATCTATCACAAAGAATCATGATCGATAGAAGCATACAAACGTGAAAGAATCGGTCTTCGGATTGTTAAACGAATGAATCAAAGAGAGAGAGAGGGAAGCTTACCACAATGAATGAAGAAACCGGCTGAAATAGAGAGACAAAGGAGAAGGCAAATGCTTGTGAGAACCCTATTTGTTCCCATTTGTCTTTGAACAGAGAGGTTGAACCAGAAAGAGCAGCTAATTCTCTTCAACTAAAAACCCACCAAGAGTGTTGGCATATATGTGTGTATCTATATATGTATGGCTTCAAGTGTATGTATGTGTAAGAAAAGCAAGTCCAAGAATCTTTTGCAAGGCAACCTGTGGAAGAATATAAGATTCTGTTCTGTTAGCAGCTCACTTTGCTAATCTCCCTAACAGTCACTTTTACTCAGAAGATGTGCATCTCAAGGAATGCTAAAGTGGGTCCAAACTATTCTTGTTGTTCCAACAATTTTGTTCCCTTAAATATAAATAACTAAACTTTGTATTAAATGAATGCAATGTAATGAAAATAGATCCACTCCTGATAAAAAAATCATAGTATCATTGTATTAATTTCATGAACTCATCAATTGATTAAAAAAATATATATGGTATAGTTATAAATTGTATTAGTTATCCAAAAACTTGGTTTTATCATATAATGTTATTCTTTCTTTGGTGGGGACAAAATGACATTTTGGGCATATATTCTTGCTTGACATTGGGAAAAAATTATAAAGGGCAAGTTTTAAATTAAGCTTTTGCTTGCTTTGTACTCAAAGCTCTTCTTTTTTTGTAGACAACATATGTTTGCATAAGCTTTGATTGTTAAAGTAATATAGATACTATGTCTTATATATCTAAACAAAACACGTACGAGAAAGATACAAATTGTAATATAAATCCGTGTTTTACATTTAAAAAAATAGATAATGTATTTTTCATATTTGAAAAAAATATAAATATCAACATAACATAAATATGAAAGTATCCTATTGATTTATCATATATATCTTAATTGATAGTATGTAACTCTATTTCATATTTGAACTTTCACTTTTGAAAACGCATCCGTATATTTCAAATTTTGAAAATCTTTGAAAGAATTGCAAAAATTATCCTTTTCTTTGTAATTTTTCTAAAAAAAAATTCAAGGCGTTCATGAGTTAGAAATTTTATAACGTTTAATTAGTTAGTTCGTGAGTTCTTATTGTTTGGTCGATTTATTTAGAAAAAATTGCATACACTCTTTGCGGGAGGAAAAAGATTATACGTACCCCTTAGTCCTTACAATTTAGACGACAACAAAAAGGAACAGATAAATAAAGATAACGCATTTGCGGATATCTTTATCGAGGACGAGAATTATATTGTCCTCGCATCCAAACATCGTGTCATAGCCATTGGCCAGGCCACCCACAACTGTCAGTGTCACGCCGAGAAGTGGGAGATCTTACTTCCGTTCTTTCACTCTGCGACTTCGAGGTCAGATTTCTCTGTCTCAATTCGTTGATCCATTAACCAGAAATAGGGTTGTCTCCCCTTCCGATTTCGATTCGGATTTCCTGAAAATTCAGCCTTTGTCTCCCGATCTTCAGCTTGACGATAAAAATGGCGGATTCATCATCTTTACTGTACAATGAGCTTAAGGTTTGAGTTTTTCCGCCTGATTTATTTTCAAATGTCGTTGAATCTTTGATTCTTCTCGTGAATTCCGTCGCCTCATTAAACGGGTATCATCTGGTTTTAGGCTGCTGAACCTGGTCCGAATGTCATCGAATCCGAAGAACATATTCTTCGCATGGCTAAGAACATAAAAGGCATTGCGACAAAGTATGTTCCTTCTCGCTTGCCATTATCAGTGAATCTCTTTTCTTGTATCCGTATGTGTGTGTGTGTGTTTCTCCTTCGTAGCGTTTTACCCATTTGTGAAGTTTTGACAGAAGGTATGGCAATAAGCACCATTACCCGGTTTCTGCTGTAGAGAAAACTGGTGTTTTTAAAAGATGGAAACTTTCTTCCATATTATGTGTTTATCCATCCATGTACTGCAATTGGATCATATTGAAGAGTTTGATCCTCTGGGTACACACACATTTCGTTTCAAGATAGAAGCAGAAATATTGACATACCGAACATGATGGTTTCTTCTTCAATTACCTTTTGGTTTTGGTTGTAGACTTGGGTTGCCTCTGGTTTTCAAGTCAAGTTTTGATAAAGCTAACAGAACGTCATCAAAGTCATTCCGAGGGCCTGGCATGGTTGAGGGCTTGAAGGTAAGCTTTTCCTGTTTGCTGTTCGATTATCTTTCAGCTCTTGTGATGTGATACCCCGTTATGAATCCATATCTGTGCAGTTTTTAAAATACTTAACTCCAGTGCTGGTAGAATTGTGCATTGAAGCTCTCCAGCTCATATCTGTCCAGTGAAGAAATTTTGTGATTAGGCTACAGGTTTCGTTTATTTTCTGCAACTTCTGAACAAACATCTTCCAGTTTGTCATGTATCTGGTTCCCTGATGCAGATTCTCGAGAAGGTGAAAATAGCATATGATCTACCCATAGTAACTGATGTGCATGAAACGGTCCAGGTATTAGTTAGCATATACTCACCTCGTGCAGAGTCGTAATTCAACACGCATATGTTCTTTTCTGAAGCTTTACCTTGTTTTCCTAGTGTGAAGCGGTTGGCAAGGTTGCGGACATAATTCAGATACCAGCTTTCCTGTGTCGTCAGGCATGATTTTTAACACATGTTTTACCCAGATGGACTGCTTTGGCTGTCCTCTCGACCTTGATATATGCGTGTGTTTTACATCCAAGTTTCATGATTTTAACTGGCAACTGTAACTCCAGACAGATCTTCTGGTGGCGGCAGCCAAAACTGGCAAAATTATCAATATTAAGAAAGGACAGTTTTGTGCTCCTTCTGTGAGTTCTCTCTTCCGACTTCTTTCCAACAAGTCAAATGCTTTTCGTGGCATATCTTTTTGCTGACTGCGTTTGTGTATATCCGATGTAAGGTCATGACTAATTCGGCCGAGAAGATTAGACTGGCTGGGAATCCAAATGTGATGGTTTGTGAACGAGGAACTATGTTTGGATACAGTAAGTTATCAGCTTCTTCTCAGATACTGCTTGCCAAAAGCACGTTTCAGGGTGTTTTCCTGTGTTGATAGAATTTTTTGGCATGAACAATGTGTAGAAATTCTCAGTCTCATGCAAATATTTTGGAACTAAATAACAATTCCTATGAAGTTTGATATCGGATCTGATTGACTTGCACTTTTTTTTCTTAGATGATCTGATCGTTGATCCACGGAATTTTGAATGGTTGAGGGAAGCTAATTGTCCTGTTGTAAGTGCATCTCTCTTTTTTGTGTTGTGAACGTTTGTTCCCGGGTTGTCTATAGATTTCAAATACTAGTTTTAATTCTTTGCCACAGGTTGCTGACATAACTCATTCGTTACAACAACCCGCTGGAAAGAAGGTTAGATCATTTTGAGTTTCTTATTTTCTAGTAACCATTGATGCCGAGAGTAGTTTAGGAAGTTCTTAGTGATCCTTGAAAAATGTTGCTCCTGGTAATCTAAATTCGTCTAACACAGAGGTACATTCTTAAATAGTTGGACGGAGGGGGTGTTGCTAGTGGAGGCCTTCGCGAGTTAATACCATGCATCGCAAGAACAGCCGTAGCTGTTGGCATCGATGGGATTTTCATGGAGGTAGGATAAACCCGCTTGTTACCGGGGAGGCATTTGTTCAAGCTCATGTCTTTTATGGCCTGGCGTCTTTGTTCCAACTTTATTATGATACCCGGGATATGTTTTGGCGATCAGGTGCATGATGATCCTCTAAATGCCCCGGTAGATGGTCCGACACAATGGGTGAGTTTCAAAAAACTCTCGCAATTTCCATGAACCACATCCAGTCCTTGCGATGGCTGATATCTTTTTCTGTAAATGAGTGAAAACCCTTCTCTTGTCCCTTCTTGTAGCCATTGCGTCACTTGGAAGAACTGCTGGAAGAGCTCATGGCCGTTGCTGTAAGTCTCTCTTCCCGTCGTTAGAACAAGCAATCCATCCCATTGTTTCTTTAAGGATCCGTCTTCTTTGTACATTCATTGAAAACTGATGCAGTTCTCGTATGATGTTTTTTTTTTTTTTTTTTTTTTTTTTTTTTTTTTTTTTTTTTTTTTTTTTTGCAGAGGGTCACCAAAGGGAAGCAGCGGTTCCAAATCGATCTCACGCCATACAGTGTTTAGAAACTAAGGCGTATACTCAGGTAAGTGATCCATATAGATAATGTGACTCTTCTTCTCATTTTCATACGCCCAGTAGATACATGAACTACAATTTACCCCGAAACCATACCACAGATAGCGGGATTAGGCATAGCCATATCGATATGACGATTTTTCATCTCAGTTCATAAGTTTTTACAAAGAGAACGACACTTTCGGATTTCGAACGTACTAGCAAACTTTCTTGGAGTGGTTTATAAGCTCTCAAGTCTCAAGGACTTGTTTTAGGGAGTACTCCCTCTCAAGATCTGTCTTGTCTGACATTTTTCAGGTCTCCATCCATGCGATTGTTGAGATGGTTTGGTTGGATCCGTTGTGGTTGCAAACTTCATCAAGAAAGTACTCTAATCTTGATGATGAGCGTTTCATACAAATCCTGGCATGTCATCCAAAATTGTCCCCCTCCCCAGCTTGTTCAATCCATCATGCTTCATTTATTTTGGATATTTCATATCTACGGTTTTATTAATTTGATTTAGGGAACTGTTACATTGCAAAAGTTTATCAGTGGACATATAGCGGGTTCTGAAGAACAAGGAGAGAAACCAGATATGCCTTATATGCTCTCACATGATCGTAAGGACGCAACTTCTATGTACCAAAACAACTGTAAAAGATCCTGTATACATATGATTCATATACCCTAAATCGACCACATCGATTCAGACTCAGGATCGCCTGTGTATGTGTGCAACTGCAAGTATATCACCTTCAACAAAACACCACTACATGTATACATATATATATATATACACACACCTGAAAAGTTTTGGACGGTGTAGTAGTAACCCAGTTCTGCTATGAGCACGTGACTAAACTGTCATGCACTAGCATCCTACCTTGCTGCTGGTCCAGTGTCTGTCTCACTGCCTGATAGAACTCAACCCAAGAAGACGAGTATGCATCAGCCGGGGCGAATAAGAATGTCGGATTGGGACTTGCAGGGGAAGCAGCCACCAAATCTAGGACAGAAAATGCCGGTTTGAGCCGTCGGGGGAAGTTGAAGGCCAAGGTATCGACTTTGTGCTCGTAAATTCTGCCCTTTCGGTCGAGTTTATAACGAGAAGTGCCCTGAAACTCCCCTTTGGCCTCCCACGGAACTCTGGGGATTCCTTTCAGGTTCCACCTTATGAGAATCATATTCTCTGATGGTTGCCATACCCTGAATATCTCGAGGGAGATCTCTCTGAACAGTATCTTCCCGTGAAATCTGAGTGCCCAGAATATTAATTTGTAGTTCTCGATCCCGGTGAATGTGTTCAGGGGATCCGCAAACGTTATATCATCCCTGAGAACAAGAAAATGACGGTGAATGATGCATCTTTAACAACAAAAGTTCTTGACTTTTCCCGAGAAACAAACAGATATCACAGAAAAACCAATGTCCAGATTATGGATTCCTAGATTCCGTCCTAAAATTTCTCTTTCACCCAATAGAAGGGAAGGGGAAAACCCAAAGGAGCAACCTTTGTGAACAGAATCTGAATTTTCAGTGGAACAGGAGATTCCCAGATAAGAAAAACACCTGTAGATGTCGTAATTGAGATCCTTGGTGAAGAGCAGAGGCAAATCCTCACGGAGCGTCCGTACAGCCATTCCGAGGTTGACGTAGAACTCATCATCTCTGCCGTGCCGGTACTTATCCTGCGCACTGGGCTTCGTGCTAACCTGCGCATCTTGAAGAGGAGGAGCCTGAACGCTAGAGAGAGAGAGTAGAGAGAAGCTATCTTCATCGATTTCGGGGCAAGTAGAAGAAGACGAAGACGATGGATAAACACTGAAAATGGGCTTTTCCTTGGGGGACTTTCCGGTTTGGAGAAGCAGAGAAGGAGATAGATTTGGCAGAAGAAACGCCATAGCCAATTCCTGTATTGGATTTGAAGCTTTTGCTATCCCTCGCTCTCTCTGTTTTTTCTTGGCGAAGATTCTGAACCAGAGAATGTCTGGAGAAGAACAAAGAACAGTAGAGGCTTTGGTGGAAGCAAATTAGCTGTTCGTTTTTTAGTGGTTTCAAACACACCACACACCCTCTCTCTCTCTCTCTCTCTCTCTCTCTCTCTCTCTCTCTCTCTCTCTCTCTCTCTCTCTCTGTCTAGCTTCATACACTAAAAAATCCGATTAATTTTATCAGTCTAGCTTCTAAATCTTCCTTTTACAATTCATTTTCTTTTTTTAAACATCTCTCTCTCTCTCTCTCTCCCTCTGTCTAGCTTCATACACTAAAAAATCCGATTAATTTTATCAGTCTAGCTTCTAAATCTTCCTTTTACAATTCATTTTCTTTTTTTAAACATAACCAAATACAAACAGAAACTAAAATAAAAAATTTTGTTGATAAAAAAATGCTACAGATATCAAGAAGATAAATAACAAAAAAAAATCACGCTGATAACTTGAAACTTTTTGAATCAATTATTTACAACAAATCAAATAATATCTATTATAATTAGTATTTATAACAAATTTTAAATAATCAATAAATAAATTGATTATTATAAACCCATGGTCTACGGCTTTCCAAACAGTAGCTTATTCAATGAAATCAAACACTCATTATACACGTCACCAACTTATTGGGGGGCCAAAGACTTGGAATTTAAACGGTTTTGCCTGGTTTTCATTAGGGCTGGACGTTTCGGTTCCGTTCTTTAGAATGAAACCGAACCAAACCGTTAAAACAGTTTTTTTTTATCCAAAACTGCTGTTATTTTTTAAACAGTACCATTTTTAGAGACCTAAATTTTTCCGGAACTGAACCAAACCAAACCGAACTTTAAAAATCCCGAAAAACCAAATATTTTTTAAAAAAATCTATCATTTTTTTTAATAAAACAGAAAACCAAACTGAACCGATAACGAAACCGAACCGAATGTAATAAAAAACCCAATTGGTAGCTATTTCTGTAAAACCGAAAGAACCGAACCGATTTATTCTATCCCAAACTCGAACCGTTTCCCAAAACGCTCACCCTAGTTTCCATGATCGAGTTTCTGTTCAGAGTGTTAGGTCAAATTTAGATCCAAAACAAGACAAACACAAACAATTTCATTATGCTGATTTTCATAACTATATCAATGATATATAGGTGAACATACAGTAATTTTGGGTTTTATTGGATTATAATCAATTCTGGTTCAATTTAATTATAATGAAATCAGATTTGATTATTTTAGATTTCAAAAACCCTAGTATTTACAATGAACTCCTCACCAGCCAAATAAACACAAAATGTAGGAACGTCGACCTCACCAGCTAAATTCGATGATCATCAAGCTGACGCTAGTTTTAGCTCCACACATGTTGGCAACGTACAGCGCTGAATACACTATTGAAAACATGAGTGATTCAGAGACTCTAATTTGTCGCCTTGTTCGATAACGAAAACTGTCCTGAGGAATTCCTTCCAATTTACATAATCTGATCCTCGGAAACACAGAAAAGGGGGACAAATCCAAACAAGATGGATTCAGACGAAAACAACAATTAGTGGCGAAAACAATATATATAAGGGCATCTGAATGCACAAGAGCTATTGAACAAGACCTGGTGCCAGAATCTCAACCCTGATTAATATCGGCAACGTACAGCGCTGAAAACGCTATTGAATCTAAGCGCATCAGAGACTCTAATTTATTGCCTTTAAACGCGACACAACAAATTATGTTCCTCGATCTGATAGAGCAGCGAAACTTTCAAACCGAATCCTAGATATTGGAGAGGACCGCGGTTGGGAATAGTTACAACTCTGGAAAAATAACATTGATTTACGCATCGGCGTATGTTGCGGATCTCTTGTAGTACAATTACATTTCTGAATCTAGGGAGAGATAGCAAACGACAAGCGATTAAAAACACGAAAACAAATCAAACCGGCTGAAACGGAGAATGCCGAAGGGCCTCAGAAGTTAGAGGTTTCGAAATTTACACATCAACGAGAAAATCTCAGATGGTACGGACAATAACCATGCATCACAGGCCCTGATCTAACCAAATCCAGAGAAAAGAAGACGATTGAAAAAGAAATGGCCGGAAAATCTTCGGGAGAGGAGGAAAGAAGCCGTATGCGATCAGAGAGGCGCTTTGCCAAACTCCAGAAAACGGGGTTTTAAATAGGGGGAAGGCATTTACGTTAAATCACAAAACCCTAGAAAATGATCGGCCCACATTCGAAATTAGGTCCATCTCCTTTCTCCAACTGGATTTGTAACCTGTTGGGTCGAGTCATTTGGGCTGGAGATATTTGGGTGAAGATATTGGGCCGAGACATTTGGGTCAATATAAACTGCCTGTACACTATTGGGCCGAGACATTTGGGTGAAGATATTGGGCAAGGGATTGGTGTACATCATTGGGCCATAAAATTGGGCCACTATTTGAAATTAGGCCAACCTCTTCTCGAACTGCATTTGTAAGCTAATGGGCCGAAACTTTTGGGTGATGATATTGGGTCATGGGATTGGTCTACATCATTGGGTCAACATTCCGAAATTAGGCCCACTTCTTCTCGAACTTCATCTGTACACTATTGGGCCGAGACATTTGGGTAAAGATATTAGGCTACGGCGTACATCTTTGGGCCGTGAGATTAGGCCCAAATTCAATATATTTTATTAATATGGACATCGAAGAGGGGTGCATTATTCTACATATAGAAGAAACCAAACAGAAACCAAAGAAGCACAAGAGAAAGATAACAAAAGTGTCTAACTAAACCTTAGAATTGTGTTCGGGCCGATGAGTGAACTCGAAGTCGATGTGGACAAAGGCACGTTCGACCTCGGGAAGGTGTTCGAGCTTCTCCTGTAGGGTCTCTCCGATGTTATGTGCCTCGTTAAGTCTCATGTCTTCGGGCAAGACAATGTCCACTTCCACAAAGTAGTGTGATCCGAAGGTGTAGGCTCTTACAGTGTCGATGTGTCTGATCTGTTCGTGGTGGTTCCATATCAGAAACGTTAGTTTTGTCAGGAAATCCGGCGGCGCTGACCGTCCGATCAGCGAGTGGACGTTTTCTAATACCGTTCTTGCCCATGTCCCGATCGTGTACAACGCAATCTGCAAAACGATTAATATACGATTGTTCTAAGCAATGAATGTTCGATTTGGGACGTCGTTATGTGTAGTGTGTTCCAATGTTTCAGGATTACTTACTAAAATGGCACCGATGGGATCGATCCACCAGTAGAATTTCACGGCCAAGACGGCTGTTGCCAGACCGACTGAATTGGTGACCACATCGAAAAGGTGATCCTGTGCATAGGCCCTGACGATTTCGTTCTGGAATCCCCGGCAATAGGTCATGAGCAAGAATTTCACTACTGTTACGGAAACCATAATCCCGATCATCCATTTTTCCTCGGTGCTACTCATTTGAGGACCGCTCTGTACAAGGAGAAACATCGGTTGATACATCAGATGATGGATTACATCGCGAAAAGGCTTATATTATGAGGACAAAAATTGCAAACATGTGATGTACCTTAGAGACAAGTTGTCTTGCTGACTCGAGCAATATCTGCAGGCCAAGAGTTGCCATCACAGATGCAAACACAACAATGCCCTGCAATCCAAGCACCATGAACTCGACTTTCATGAATATTCCGACATCAAACAAGCTTCAAATATATCTTGAGAGACAAACAAGCTTAATGTGTATAGATGAGAATGTAATAATAATCGATGAAAAGAGACAAACGAAGGGTAATGGATGAACTGAAAGCTTGAATCAATTTGTGGGGAGGAAGGATAAAAGTGTAGAGAACATACCACAGGTTGCATTCGTCTTTTCCCAATTGGGTAGTGATAATGGTTCGGTTTTCTCATGGCGTTTGCGGTAAACCACAGAATAAACCCTGATAAGAGATCCAATAGAGAGTCCAAAGTTGAAGCAATCACAGCCATAGATCTACTCTCGACAGAAGCATAAACCTTTGCCGTGAAAAGCACAAGGTTAGCCGCGTTTGAGATGTGAACTGCCAGCCTCTCACTCTTTGCAAGCTTCTTTATTTCTTCCTGTTGGGATAAAAGAGATCCGATATGTAAAGAAAAAGGACGAAACCTAAGAAAAATATAAACATCTTGTGAGAAGAAGAGACGAACCTCGGTTGGAGTTCCAGATAAAGAACCAGTTTCGTTGATCGTCTCCATCTCGTTGAAACCCTCGAGGAGCCTTTCTTGCTTCTTGTAATACTCGGAAACTTTACGTTCCTGTCCTGCAGAGTAAGGAAAAGGGTAACCATTATAAGATTATTTTCACAAACTCAAGCTTATATGATTGTATTTGATCGTTCTGATCTTCCTACTGCGTTAAGTCCTCTCTATAGAATATGATTCTTCGTTTTGACAACACCCTCGAATAAAGAGATGATTCTGTTCTTCTCATACTCTCTTACTTTAGCAACTAAAGAAGATACCGAAATCCACTCAGAATCTGACCATGTACATCGAAATGTCCAGATACAAATATTCAGATTCCAACAAAAAGCAAAACTACTTTGAATCAGTACACAGCGAATCATGACCTAGAAAAAAAGAACTACAAACTGTGAATCATGCAAAATTGCTAGAGAATTAAGGTTTGATGTACGGTTGATCCAAAATTTCTGCAAGGAAACAGTTCAAATTGAAGAACATTCTTCACGGGTAAGTGTAACAACACAATCACTTCTCTGCCCCTGTTTGGTTCAGAAGAAAATACCATTCCATATGCAGGGTAAGGCTTCCTTTTATAATCGATGATCCCGTGCAAACAGCCGAATATACATACACACGCGCAAGCATTTACACGCAAATCGCAGGGACGAACGAAGGTAACGAAAAATCGATGACGAAGAATCTTACTCGGAGTCGTATGAAGAAGGCGGGAGAGTCGAGTACGACGATCGTTGGGCAAGGGAGAGGAAGGGAGGCGAAATGTATCGAGTCTGAGACGCCATGACGACGGCGGCGGAGCGTCATCGTCGCCGGGAAGAAGTTCGTCGCTGTAATCGGAGACGCCGGAACGGCGGATATCGTCCATGGCCATTGCAGCTCTCTGAATTTTCGAAGAAGGCCTGCGCTGGGGGAAGTTTTCAGAGACGGAGTTTGTTGCGTTGTTAATATATGTTACTTGTAAATAGGAGTGGGGGTTAGCAAAAGCATTACGATTCTCTCTCTCCCCCTCTACAAAAACATGAAAAGGCTTTGACTTAGTAATTAGTATTACATTAAAACAATAAAAATAAAATAAAATCTAAACATACAAACCTAAAAAAACCCTAAACTATCTACCTTACATTATAATAATTATAATACGTATGTACATATTTATGATATTTACCTAATTTTAGATATTTATGATATTTACCTAATTATAATTATAATATGGTCACATTGATTATGTTCTATCACATGTTCATAATTATGAATTGAAATCAAAATAGCATATAGAGGTTATTTTTCATATAATAGCCGTTTATTGTTGTATAGGTAACGTATCGTCTTAATTTTTGAAAATGGTCTGTTTATGCATGCATAGATTACGTACTACATAAATTATTAATACATAAAGCTAACGATGCAATCTATTTTTCTTGTATTTTTCACAAGAAGTTATACTTTGTTTTACCAAACAAATAAAATAAGAATTATATGTATGCTTCTATTGAATATAGAAATCTCATATTTATGCTTGGAAGGCACATGCACAAGTTTTTAAGAAATTACGAAGCAGAAAGTGTTAAAAATCAATTCTAGTCACTAAGTGTTATTACACTATGATCTAAGTACGGCAAATAATATAGATACATGATTAGAACATAAATAAATAATTTAACAAAATAACATAAATAAATAAATGAATTTAAATAACCATTTTTAATGTGTCATGCGGTGTGGATTCCAAATCGTTTTCCACAACACGTTTTTTTCCTCCTTTTGTCCCAACAGGGGTTTGTCCTCTGCGACAAAGTGGATAATGAGTAGATTCACCATTAAAATTATACAAAGCTTTACAACGGCGGAAGATATATATTTTTTTCTTCTCAATACTAAATAAATATTATAAGTTATCATGATTGAATTGAATTATATAATTTGGTTTACGGTTTTCGATTGAAAATTTTGTGTTAATATACATATATACAGTATAAGATAGGGTTGTTTTCCCTTTGACAAAAAAAAAAGATGTGTTATTTTCTGCATGTATGAACTAGAATTAGACTCAATAAAGACATATGTAACACATCATTATCTGTATTATTACTTCGAACATGAATATATTATCCAAATTGTTTAAAGAAAGAGCGAAAAGAAGTAAAGGTCCTTTATAACTTTATAGGGCCATTTGTGCTATGCCCACCTATCATTCACTTCTTTTATTCTTTTCTTTTTTTTCTTTTAAACTTTTTGGTAAAAAAGAAAATTTTCAAATAACTTTTGTCTTCTTAAAACATGCATCATTATTTATTATCTGAAACGAGCAACAATAATACGCACTGGAGAGAGCGAAACCAAGTTATTATTCCAAGGGCTGACAACATACACATGAGCGTAGGGGATCGGAGCCCAGGCCCATGATTTCGCTTACGGGTGCCACGTCAGATGGACCTGGGCCGAGTTTCAAAGCCCTTTTTTCGCTTCCCTAAACTTTACCCGGCCCTACCTGTGATTCTCCTATTACATCACATCACATTATTTGAAATATTCAATAACGAAAAAAAAAAGGGAAGACTGGAAAAAAAACGACCACGGTGGGACTCGAACCCACAATCTCCCGCTCCGGAGGCGAGCGCCTTATCCATTAGGCCACGCGGCCACTTTGCTATGGGTTTTATAATTTTTATAGATAATGATATACTAATCATTTCAGAAAATTATTCTTGAAATAAATGGTGGTGGCCAACAAGAGAACAGAAACAATGTTGCTGGTTACGGCTTGTTCAATCACAGGTGAAACCAAAACCAGGAATGTCAATAGGTACAGCTCCTCCATTTCCCCTTCAGGAAACAAATCTGTCCCAGCAGAGTTGGCTTGAACCAACCCAAGAGTTCATGTTTTTCTGTTCATGCACTAGATAAAGAGTCCTCCACGGGAAACTCGGGCTGCGATGCCCACTCTGTCCACGACCCATCATAAACTGGCACGTCCATTTTCCCCAGCCGGTGAAGCCCCTGAGTGATCAAAACACGAAAGAACGCTCTTAACGTTTGCTCACAGCGAGCGGACACAATCTCTCTTGAGCATTATAAATGATGGGTCGGAAGCGAGAGGAGTTTATTACCATTGCCAGAATGCATGCTGTCACACCAGTTCCACACGACGCCATGATAGGACTGTCCAATGAGACACCTGCAGGAAACAGCCATGGCAAGGGTTTCAAAAAGCGTTCTTGTGAACAAGTACTTGAACATAGTGGTCGTTGCATTATCACGTCCAGTTGTATATTCGCATTAAAGTAGTTGTCAAGAGCGTTGTTGTATGTATGGAAAGAAATGTCGAAGACACTAGGTGGTTTATAGGCATTGGCATAGTTTCGGGTCACGACTAGTTGATGAATACATATAATACTTCATTATTCATGAAGGAGACAGAAAGAAAAACGCCAAAGACAGATAATTAAACTACCTTCTTGTTCAAACTGTTTCTTAAGCTCGTCTGCTGGTAATAGTGTCTGTGAAGAATCCAGCATCTGCGTAATGAGAGAGCAAGAAGAAAGAAAGAAAGAAACTTATTTTCATAACTATCGGTGTATATATGATTCTTGACACATGTAAACGTAAGATGAAGGCTTTGAGTTCGAGGAGAGTTACCTGAGTAAAAGGGACAGACTTGCTGCCAGGGATATGACCGCTCCTTAATCCCTTGCGAGGTTCCGGAGCTGTACCATTGAACCTGCAAAAAAAAAAACCCCGGAAGATCTTATTCAAAACGCTACTATGGATACTGTTTCTTGAAGGAGTTTTAGCACAAGAGTTTCGCCATTAGAGTTTAAGGAATAACGAAGGGAGGAGGATAATATACCTGGCTCTGGAACGGGCATCTATGTGTTGATAAGTCTTATCCTCCATGTTTTTCTTCACCTGCAAAATTCATTGACGAAAAGGCGTGACTCAAAAACAAGAATCGAGAGAATTATTCCAACCCAAACATGCGAAAATTGTTGTTACCTACAGCGTACAGACATCGAGAAACTTCAATTACTCCTCATCATAACCGACTAAGAAAATGTGTTTTACTAGTGGATTGAAACAATATTTACACTTCATGAGTTACGAAGCATATATCGAAACAATATTTACCCTAAACAATATGAGAATCGTTATCTTTAGAGCTTCTTTAGTAGCATTATTGAACTTCATGAGTTACAAAGCATCAACACGAAACATCTATCTTCAAAGATCATCGCCATGAAACTAAAACTGTTTAGGGTAAACTAACCTGATCAAGCGTCCACACAAAATGAGGCTGGAACTTCGTCTTGAAGGTTATGGGATTGACCTGTGGTGACCAACAAAGAACATAATTCAGATGGAAAACATGAAAGTATGTGTAAAAACTATCAGAAAGATTCAATTAGACAATCTGCATTTTCTTTTTTTACTTTTTCTTTTCAAGATAACAGTTTCTTCCTTCGTAGATCTGCAGAAACATCAAATGAGCAACCGGCCGTTACTAAAGATGTATATAACTTACAGTTTGCCCTTGATATATTTTCTCTATAGCCTCACTTGCAGCACTGGCTTTCAGAATGGCATCACCAGAAGCACTCGATTCGACATCATAGCCCAAAGCACGATATCTTGGTAAGCCACCGTCAAGTACCCACACCTTGTCATGCCCAAAGGCTCGGAACTGCCTATACACAATCAAATTTAAGGAGCAACCCACCACTTTAATAAGATCTGAACAAGACAACCCACACAGAAAAGAAAGGAACTTCACTGAAATCATAGCCATGTTAACCAACCACCACACACGAGCAGCGCTATAGATCCCCTTTCCATCATAAACAACCACTCCATCTTTGTTCTCAACTCCAAGTGCTGAACAAGCAGCAGCAAAAGCTTCCTCAGATGGCAACATGTGGGGCAACTGTTGCAATTAGTTGAAATACCAAACATCTGTTTCAGAAGGTTGCCTTTATATCACAAAGATAAAGCTAACGAGCAATGCACATTCGGGGAGAGAAACTTATATTTCAATTGTCTCAGAAAGGAAAATTTACAATCACAAAACATTCAAAAGCAAAGAGTTGGGAATTTTCATTCGATATGCAAAAGAGAAAACAAGATACTCCCTTGAAGCAGTAAGTGGTATATAGAGAAAAACCACAGGATTACATCTGCTCTACAGAAAAGAATAGGATTCTCACATTTGATGTTCGATCAGATATTCCATCCAAATCGAAGAAGAGAGCACCAGGAATATGAGCAACCTGTTGGACAAGGAAAAACATGTGAAAATAAGCATAAAGGCTCAAGATACAAGGTGAAATTCGTCGATATGGGTTCCATTAGGAAGGTTCCAAGCACTTAATCCAGATTAGAGACAAAAGCTTATTGAAGTAGTTATAAGAATAACATAATCAATGTACAAACTTATGCTTGTCTACGCAACAATTATTCACATCCTCACCTGATACTCTTGGATTGCATTCCTCTGCTCATCCGGCATGTACCACGAGGCGTCCAATACCTGAGCATGAAAAAAAAAACAAGTTAGATAAGAATCATGACAACCATATTCTTGAGAAATGCACCATTTGAATATGCTCCTAGAAGGGGAAAAAAAGCTACAAATTTGTAAGAGAAACTATAATTCACATAAAAATGCAGAAGGCACTGTATGTATACAAATAATTCACCTTCAAATCAGGTTCTCTGAGATTAGAGTGGAGCCAATCAGCAGAAACAACAGGTTCATCGGTAGATATGGATGAGGTTGAGTAACCAGCAGCTCTGGGCCCACCTCCGGCAGAAGCCATAACTCGACTAGCCCAAGAAGATGATTGATAGGTGGAGCCTGGTTGCGAGTAGAATGTTCTTGTCTGCAATTATTATTATAAACACCGCATGGGATCCGGCTCAAACAACGGGAGAAGAGTTCGAACATTGTTTATATGAATGAGAGGGAAAAGCTCAAATCTTGACAAGATTGGAATGAAGAGAATTAAACAAGTCTAAGGGAAACCCCAGTTGAAACCCCAATCATCGGATATCCACAAGGACAACAACAGTATCAAGCCATAATTCCCAAGCTAAAACCTTTTCAAGCACGAGGGCCATCTCGTACTCGTGCCTCGTGGCCATTAAACAAATCCTCGAACACCGGCAAATCAGTCACCAATCGAGAAACTCAAAAGCCGATAAACAACGAGATCCTAGAAGCAAACCAACGATCAAACGAAAACCCAATTGAGAAATCATCGAAATGGAATCGCTCGCAGACTTACATTGGGAACGAGAGAGAGATTAAGGGTCTTCTGCAGAAGGGCAGCAGCCGAACGAGTTCTGGAGAAAAGGGTCGAAGCCATATCACCTCAACAAAAACAGAAGCCGACGGCACGAGTTTAAAAGACGCCAAATGCTTTCCTGTCAGATTCTCCGCAGAAAGAACCCAAAAGGTGACAACTTTTCTTAGGGATGAATTACTGCTGCCGCCTCTATAAATATATATAGGCGAGAGAGAGAGAGAACGAGATATGGAGACAAACGCCAAGGTCGTGTTTCGTTACACAAAACGTGGTTCTAACAGCTGCGTTTGCGTTTGCGTTTGCGTTTGCGATTTCTACTTTGAGAATGGATAATTCTTCTGGGAACAGACTGTTCAGAACGAAATATTAAGTATGCAAGTTCGGAGCATTCAAAATCGGAATCTGAACAGAAAAACCACAACAAACAGGCCACAATATCAAATAGTATATTCACAGAAGTTTCCAATGACAATCCATAATGAACAAAGAAAACTCTAATGCCCTGATCTGTGAAAACAATAATTTGTATGCGGAAAAAAAAAATTACATCAGAAGGGAAATCCTTTACGCATGGACTTCTTGGATTCCTCTGCCAATCGTTTCATGGCTTTGTATCCCTTGAAAGACTCCATCAAATCGGCCGCAACTTCTTCTGGATGACAATTAACGAAAACCCTCAAGAATCGCTTTTCTCTCATTCGTAGCACTCTAAAAATTTCCTGTCTTTTTATCTGAGGTTGAAGTCCCATTTCCTCAATTCTCTTCGAGAGAAGCACTCGAGGCCTTAGATGAGATTCCAGGTTGCAGTAGAGCAGGAAAGGGTGCCGAAGGATGGAGTGAGCCGGGAGTTTCATCGAGGCTACGATGAAAGTCATGTTTCTCTGGACCTTTTCGACTGATAAGGTCAGAATGAGAGGGGATTTACCAATCATATGCCAAACCTCTTCCTCCGAGAACCCGAACTTCTCCAAGTTTGCAACTTTCTCTTGGATCGTTTCCATCCTCGAGACTCCAATGAGGGAGACAACGTATTTGAACATCTTGGATTCACTGCTGACCCCTGTTTTATGGATGTACTCTATCTTCTCACTGTTGAAGTTTGTCCTTGGAATCAGTGTGGGTCGGGATATCAACATTTGGATCAGATCTCCACGGCTCAACCCAAACCCTTTGTAAAGCTCGATCACGGGCTTGATCTTTTCACAAAGATCATACGTCATGAGAGACGGGTTCCTGATGATGGCTTTACGCAGCTCCTCTTTTGACCCAAAAAAGGTCGTGAGAAAGTCGATCCTTTCGTCAAAGAAACGGTTAATACGGCTGCTAAGGAACCTCGGACGACAATTTACAATCTTGACCAGGTCGGATGATGTGATGCCCAATCGATCAAGAATGCTTAGTTTAAAATCTAGCTGGGCAGCATCAGCTCTCTGCAAAACCGGCCTACGCGATAAAAGCTTCGATATCTCGTCCTCGCTACAACCCCATCGTCTAAGAACTTCCACGGAACTAATCCGATTCACTTGCGCTTGATCACCCTCATTTTGACTGTTCGATTCTCTAAACGATTCAATCGATGCATTCGAATTGTCAAGGCATTCCAAGGCCTCACCTTCAACTTCGTTCAGGCATATCGTCGAATACCTTGTGGGTGTAATTATAAACGAAGGATTCCTGCCTGTTACATTCCTTGCCCAGCTTGAACCCGACAACGCAAATCTTATAGCCGCTATAATCTTCCCCTTTGGATGCATTTCAACGTCGTAAACGAGGAATTAACAATGCTTCGATGGATAAACTGGAAAAGACATTTCACAAGCATTAGGAAGAGTCCGTACTCCTACCTCAACAGCACAAGTATCAACAATTAACAATGGAATTCAGTTGTTTCTCGGTTTTCAAAACGAAATCTACAAAAAAAGAGGTATCTTTCCCCCTTTTTTGGCACCACAAAAAAAAAGAGGTGCTTACCACCATGAATTTCAGGCAAAGTGAAGAACTTTACAGGACAAGATTCAAATGAACAAGCGGAGGATCTTCCAATTGGCACCACCAGTGTGTGTGAGTGAACGCTTATGTATCTGTGAGAGAGATTGTGCTGCGCACAGTGACACTGGACAGACTCCGATTTTGAGCGAAGCAAACAGGGTTACAGCACAGGGTTTATCGAGGGCCACAGTGTAAATAAATAAAAGTTGTAAGAGCGTTTTCTAATTTACAAAAATTTCACTCTTAAAACGCCGTCGTCTACCGTTTTTTCCGTTTCTTTTTTTTTTGTTTCCCTTTGTTAAAATAAACAAAAGATTCTCTTGTAGGCTCATTCCCTTCGACCAGTCCTCTTTTGTTCTTTTTTTTCACATTCTATTTTTTGATAACCGGTATAGTTTCCGGATCTTCGACCCGATTACATTCGTTTAGGTTCGAGAGTAGCCTTTGTGAAATACGGACGTAATTATCGCATTTTTCCGTGGGCATGATGATGATGCGAATATCATTCAACTCAAAGAATGCCATGCCATGCCATATAAATCGAATGTCATCAAATGAGTAAAAAATGCATGGCAAAAATCATACATATCCGTCGCATCATATACAAGAGTGTACGTAAATGCACGAATACCTGCATCTGCTGCAGTGACCTCGTCGATGACGTAATCTAATCCAATGTTTCTTTCAGTAATAGAGAATTTTTCAGAATACATGGAATTTTTATTGATTTTTCTTTGCATTAACTAACGACATATCATATTCGATATTCACGCCTAGATTGGAGCACATGATTACAAATTAAAACCATTAACTCTGAAGTGAATTAGTGATGAAAGATGTTTACTGAATTTTAACCATTCACTACAAAAAAATCAGCAAATTCCAACGAATTTTCCAACGGATTTATCCGTTGGAAATTTTTCAACGGATTTTCAACGGTTTTCAACGGCATTTTAACGGTGATTTCCGTTAAAAATCCGTTGAAAATTTCCAACGGATATCCGTTGGAATCGCCCGTTGGAAATTTTTAACGGAATTTTCAACGTATTCAATTGAAAAAATTAGGGTTGAAATTTTCCAACGGTATTTCCAACGGATATCCGTTGGAATTTTTTTTGGAAATTTAAAAAAAAAATTCCAACGGAATTCCAACGGATGTCAGTTGAAATTTTTTTTGAAAATTTTAAAAAAAATTCCAACGGAATTCCAACGGATATCGGTTGGAAATTTTTTTGGAGATTTAAAAAAAAATTCCAACGGAATTCCAACGGATGTCGGTTGGAAATTTTTTTGGAAATTAAAAAAAAAAATTCCAACGGAATTCCAACGGATGTCGGTTGGAAATTTTTTTGGAAATTTTAAAAAAAAAATTCCAACGGAATTCCAACGGATGTCGGTTGGAAATTTTTTTGGAAATTTTTTAAAAAAAAATTCTAACGGAATTCCAACGGATAACGGTTAGAAATTAGGATTTTAATTGAAATATATATATATATATATAAATACATGTATATTTTGTGTATATACATACATATATATATATCGATATATATATATATATATATATAT